GTACATTTGCTTTATGTCATCTTGTGTTATAAGTTGATTTCAAATTTTTGCCTGACATTGCTCCCTGATCTGTTTAACTTTCATGTTTTAGCCCTCCTGTTGATTGCAAAGTAAGAGTTTCAGATCTTCATTTTTCTTTAGATGTGGTGGCTTAGTTTTTTTTTTTTTCCCTTTCAAAATCTCATTTGGGTTTATATATCCATTTACTCGATTATTCTAGCTTGACTTTTTTTGTATTTATGTCCTTGGTAGGTTTTGAAAGATCCCTTGAATAAGTGCAATCTGCAAATTCTATTAACATAACGATCATTCCCTTCTAAGTGGTTTAATGAAGTTGTTAAATAAGGACAGTTGTGACACAATTGGCAAGTTCTCCAGAGGTCCTAACACAAATTATGCTATCTTGAAACACACAGTTTATAAGATCTATTTATTTAGAATCACTAAACATGTAAAGTTTTATTTTGTTTTGTTTTGGGCATTATGATTTCTTTGGATTAAATTCTTTTAATTAAATTATTTTAAAAGAATTTAAAAATAATTGTAAGATAAATTTTAAAATAATGTCCAATTTCTTTTAATTAAATTCACTTGAAAGTTTAAAAATATAAAAATCATATTAAACTGCACTGAACTGCTTTTGATAAATGGATGAATAAAGGAAGAGAGGGAAAGTGAGAGATTTATGAAATTCCCAGAGTTAGAAGAAACTAAATTCATCATTACAGCATTGAAACCTTTTCCTGAAATTGATTTTGTTCTAATACTCTTGATGTATACAAAAAACAATGAAAATTCATAAAGTTATTTTGTTGCCTTTTCCTTTCCTGGCTTGAATTTTGGATTCCAAAATTGGAGTCCAAAATTCAAGCCAGACATCTACTTTACTCCTAATATCTTTTGTTCATATCTATTTTGTGAATAAGGTTCTAACAAGCATATGCAGAAATACCTTTGTCTGGGAAGCACTCAGAGACTTTTAGTTCTTTTTTTGTACCTGACATATCCACAAATAATCTCTGCTTCCTGGTCTCATTTCATAGATACTTTCACAGAATATCTACTGGATTTAAGCCAGCACAGGCCTCAGCCCTGCTCCTCTTTGATTGCTCAGTGATTAAGTAATCCATTTAGGATATGAGAAACCAAGACTCAATTTCATTCTTTGCCTCACCATTTCCGATGGGAACGCACTGAGGACACGTTCTGCAATGGTGTAATTTCAGTCCACCCTTCTCAATCAGTTCCACTGTGCTAAATATTCATTAGGCTGGAGAGAGAACATGCAAAAGCCAGCAGAAGACTTTGGCCCTTGCCTAATAGACTGAAAGTGCAGCCTTGGGCCCCCTGAAGAGGGGATTTACAGAGTGGGGTACCTCAGAGTGGAGATCGAGGATGGTGCTACTTGGGCAAGATGTTACTATTAGCTTGCCAATGAGAAATACTACAGAGATCTTACCTTCCACAGGGCACCTGTAGCTCAAACATAGTCTCAGAAATCATCACCAAAGCAATAACAATCATTAATTTAAAGAATAAACTAGATATTATGCATTTTTTACAGCACGAAATACCAGTTAAATATGTAAATATAAATAGATAAGCATATTGCTTTTAATGTAGATAGGTATATTCTTGTATCTTCATATTAAAAAAGACATCTTCTCATCAGAAAAGTTTTCCAAATACTATTGACTGAAGATCAGATTCACCTGTATCGTGTTTATTTATTTTAATAATACTTAACTTTTCCAGCATTTTATCTGCCTTAGTTACTAAAGAAAGGTTTTGTTGAGGGTGTGTGGAAAGTCATATACTAAAATCTGTATTGTCACAAGGTGGTGCTGTTGGATAAGAAAAATCTAAAAGACCAGTGGAAAAGGTTTTCACGGTGAGTTAAATAAAATTAAAAGAATGACAGCTTCATTCACCTCTGTCATGTCCAATCTTTCATTTCTTCTTTTGACACAAAGGTTTTAAATTAGGCAGAATCGTTATTCCTGTGGCTTGTATTCTGAATAATTCACAGGGTAGATACAGATCTTTAACATTAATTTCATGCCTCTGAAGAGTGACAGTTAATGAGGCAATTATTTTCATTCTTAAACTGGCCAAACGTGGGACATAAAATTGATAGTTTCACATCTCTTACTGTTACCTCTCAGTGCAAATTTTATTCTTCATCTTTTAAAACCTTTTATAATATAAGGTAAATGCCTAAACCATTGGATGATTCAATATTATATTTTCTATTGCAACAAGTATTTCACTAAGCCAATAACCTTGTTTACTAGATATAAATGGCATGTTTTGAAAAAAAAAAATGAATACCAGCTCAAATTGCTTTGGCTGATGTAACATCTTGACATTGAACTACATGTTCCGAACCTTGCTATCATCTAATTTACAATCTTTCTTCAGAAATGTCCTTTTTCTAAAAAGACGTTCAGTGCAGTAGCCGTAAACACAGCCTTCAATTTGACAATCTGTGCTTTAATACTTCAAGCTAAAGGTATTGAAAATTTCAGCAGAACTCCATGGGACCTTTCAGTATCTGTGGAAGACTGAGGTGATGTCCAGCTTTAAAATTACTGAATAGACTAATTATATCTTTCCTGATTGATAAAGCAGCAGGTAATGACATATTCTGGGTCTGCTGAAATTATTTTTTAATTGTGGAAGTCATCATTATGTTCACTCTTTTATCAGGTTTAGTGGATTTTGAACTTCTGGTGCTCCCACCAGGATTACATTATAGCACGGTGTGTGAGGCCAGAAAATATGTCAGAGCTTTAGCAGGGATTTTCAATGACAAAATGAAAGTTTTTGAATTGTACTTTGCCTCAAAGAAAGGGTCTCAGCAGTTGCATTCTTTGTGACATTGGGAGGCAGACACACCATTAGCATCTTTGACTTACAAGAATAGGAAGCCTGAGGGTCTAAATTTTCCCCCTTTACAGTTAAAAGATGAGGCACTCAACCTGCATGGCACACATGCATGTGGCCAACTGCTGTTTTCAATATAAGGGGCAGAGTAATCTCTCAGTTTATTTCCACCTTTCACCTTTGTGCCCCATGCGTAGTTTTTTGGGGGGCTTCACTGGTGTTTTTCAATTTTTATCTTACTTTGCATGGAATTCCTGAGTGAGATCCTGACTATCCTTAACTCCCATTGTGACTAGCAGAATTTGTAAATGCAAATTATGTTATCAGCACATTTTTAAATGCAGAGTATGCTATCAGGACAACTTGGGATTTGGTTCAAAGCCTTGATGTGTTTGATTTATTTTAGATGTGTTTGATTTGTATTTTATTGAAAGAAGCCCCTTCAAAGGTAATGGATAACATGCTTCAAAGACAAAATGCACTTGTGATCTCACAGAATCAGCATGGTCCACTGGGTAAGCAGTAACCTGGGAAAATAAGGTTAGAATTTCTGGGTATTTCCACCATCATTCTGATGAATTGCCCTGATGAATTGCCTGCAGCAAGTGGTTCCCTCACTGTGGCTTTGGTAGTTAGTTTATTTGGGGTTTTGTTTGTTTCTGTCTGTAAATAGAGATGATTGACGAAACACTGATGAAAAAGTTTGGCATTGTTACCACACTCAGAAGAAGATAGTGTTTCTTTCCATTGGGGTAGAGGAATATGAAGAGAAGCCAGAAATAAGCATCAAAACTCTGCATGTTCTGTATTTCTTTACAAATATTTGTATCTATATATAGCAGTGTTTTGTCTCTTTCTTCTTTCTGTGCAACTTCTTTGTTCTTGTTTTGTATTGCTAAGTATTTCTAAGCTAACTGTTGTGTATAAAATCTTTTTTCATAGAAGGCTAAAAAGAGCAGCCAGTCCAGATACAATACAGAAATAAACATTTCTCACTGTACATGTATTTTTTGTTCCTCATCCATTATTCAATCTGCTGTAGGAAAAGCTTGTACGTGTGACATGAGACTAACAAAAACATTGCAGTCATCAGTATTTTCAATTCCTAGGATCTTATTGTTTGGCATCCAAATCTGTGTGAGTTGTTTTCTTCCTGCTGTGGTAAACAATCTCGTTTTCTTACCATTCTCCTAAACATCGTAGTCATGGAGAATAGCTGCCTCTCTAGGGAGTGTGTACACTACAGTTGGCACCTCGAGTCTCAGAGTAAATATAAACATTTATGCTCCTATGTCAGTAAAATAACCTCCCTACTCCAGCTGAGTATTCCCCTGATTATGCAGCCACATTAGCCCTCTCAGCCACAGCACCACACTGGGAGCTGGCAAGATCCTGCTCAGCTGTTTTTAACTTGAAGGAACAGATTGTTAGAAAGCAACATGTCCTCAGCTTCCTTGATTTAGAGCTTGGGCAAACCCCTATGAAGTGAGAGTTTGGGGATTTCAGTGAGATCAAATGCAGCCATATTCTTGCCTAAATAGGAAATATTTAATGCAGTATTACAGTTTAGCTTGCCTATTTAACATCATTTTGGGATGCTCGTGTCTCCCACCACACTAGGCAACTGATATTGTCACAGAAGTGAGCAGGAACGAATTGATAATTAAACAGTTAATGAGTAGTTGCAATTCACTAAAGAACACAGGTGATATTTCCATGGCTGTCTGTTTCTGCACTTCATTTGCTTTTTACTCTGTTGTCTTGATGCAGCCACTGCAATTGCAAAACTTGAATTGCAGAGCTTTAGTTTTTTAGAAGATGGTAGGCCAGGTTTTTGTGATGCTGTTCCCACACCAAGTGCAAACTAGCACCAAAGATGCTGTAAACAGCCTGGAAAGTCCATTTCAGTGCAGAGGTGATCCAAAATGATAAGTGAGCAGGGATTTTTCTCTCTCTTCTCAGGCCTCTCAAAATGGTTGATATCCCTGAATCAGCTGAAGCCCAGTATCTTGCCTCCATTTTGCAGTTTTAGGCAGAACTGTAACAAAACAAATTTTAAAATACCTATGTATTTATACTGTGGTATATTTATATGAACTCTGCTTTACTTTTAGCCACAGATCTGAAAATAATGTCTCCGTATGCTGCTTCAACAAGGTAATTTCTGAACTCTATAGCATGTCAAGGTCCTAATTTTTTTCTTGATATTTATCCCTTTCTGTCTGAGGACTTGGGCACCCACACCATAAATTATTTTAGAGACTTGATCCAGTTAAGGACTAATAAGTGTTTTCCTCTTCTCTCTCTCTCTTTTTTTTTTTTTTTTTATTTCTTTTACTCTGTGAATTTTTGTCCGTTCAGCTCCCATAATGTTTCAATACATGATTACACAAGACATAGTGCCAGTGCAAGGCAGGAGAGTGCACAGCTGGGGCTGGAAAAGGCAGCTGAGATCACAGCAGTCTCAATTTAGATTTGTTGAAATGATTATGGATATCCACCTTTCATTTCCTGAATTTTAGCTGCTGCTGAGAGAAGTCATCCCCAGAGACAAAAATATTTTTAACCAGACCAGTTCATCATGCAGCTACAGGAACTTCATGCACTTGGCATTTAGAAGGTGGCAGAAGCTAGAGGGAAGCAACTGAGGGAGTGAGGGATATATCTTTAGTGACAGTTTCTTTCACCTTATAGCGATACTGAAACTTTGTGTGTTTTAATTGAAATGTATTTTAATTTTTAAAGATCTGTTTAATTTCTTAATGAGTTTAACAGAGCTACAGTTGTGTTTCTTGAAACCTTATATGTTTAAGATTTCCCCAGAGGAATTTCAACCTGGCCATTCTTCACAACCTCCCCACCTTGTTCAGTCTCTGTTCTTCTCCTTCTCAGCTCCTCTAGATGCACAGAATGCAAGGAATGATGTAGGAGAATAGAGAATGGGTTTTCATGTTGTTATTATCTAGTGATTTGTAAGATTTCAAACCAAGATTTGTTGGTTTTCAGGTCAGAGATAAACAATTCTGATTGTCTCTAATCATATTAGTTGCCTTTGAATACTATTCAAACGTATAAAACATCTTGCAAAAAACTGAAGATGACACACTGTGAAAATCAAATATTTGTGACCTTGATACTTAGGAATATGTAATTATTCATGATAACCCCAAAGAGTAAAGTTCCACACTTACTAATTATCAGTGAAAAAGGTGGCTTGTTTTCTAAGAAATTACACACCACTAAAAATACTGCTTTTTCTGAGTCATGTCTAGGACATAACTATAACATGGTTGCAAACTGGATTTCTTTTGCATCCTTCAGGCTGAGCTCCTAAAATGAAGTGTAATTGATCAAATTATATATTGTGAACAAATCAGACAAACATGGGAATTTTTCCTTACAGAAAATTTTTCAATTTTGTTGTCATTTCCTTGGTTTAATGGAATAAAATATGATTATATCTAAAGTCCTCTATCTCACGATTTTATAAAATAAGTAATTATAAAATTGATTTTAACAAAAATGAAAATAGGAAAGTGATAAAGAAAATATTTAACTAACATTGCAAAAGGAATCTAAGTATTTAATAAGAATATTAATACTGGGACTAATTTAGTGATACTGGTACTACTTTACAAACCTCTTTCTATTTAAAAATTGACAATTCTTGATAAAATTAATACAAAGCCACAATAAAAGTGATTCCTTTTCTCCAGAAAAGAAATGTGTTCATTATATGTGTCCATGTGCTTAGGACACATATAATAGAAACAGAATTCTACCATATTTTTTTAAACCCTACATAGGCACTTTAATACATATTTTCTCTTAGTTCAATAGCAGGTGTTGCATTCATTAATGAAGCTTTTACTTTTTGAATAAATTTCTAGTTCCTTCTGTCTATTATTAGAAAGTTTATAGTTTAATTAAATTACCCTATTGATTAGCATAAAATAGTCTTCTAATATACAGCTTCTCATAACTTACTTAAATCTTTTGTAGTTGACTTGATTTGTTATTTTTATTTAGTTACAAAAAAATTCTGGCTTATGGCATCTTCAGTTTTCATTAGCATTACTAGGTAAAAAAAACCAAAAAACAAACAAACAAAAAAAACCCACAAAAAAAAAAAACAACCAGAAGTGCATCTTTTATTACAATGTCAATATTGGCATTTCATTGGCTAGCAAAGGTCTCCAGCTGAGTTCATCAGTGAACAGATTGGTATAATTTCTCTCTAACCAGGGAATAAAGTCACCAATATTTTACAGTTCTCATGCATACTTGCAGGTTGTGAAAATGAAATATATCTTTTGCATAAAAGCCCAATATTACTACTTCTCCCTCCATACCCATAAATGCATCATAGAAGATACTGACATTAACTTTCACTTAAAGGTGTTTTCTGACACTCCCTGCAGCCTCAAGTAGAAAAGTCCCGGGAAGTCCATTTTGGCTGAGGATGCTGCTGTCCCTGAAGATTCCTGAATCTGCCAGGAAAAGGTACCATTTTTTCTAGGACAATACCACTGTCACCATGATGACATGACCATCTTCAAGGTCTTTTTGTATTCTTTTGTCTGCCGCTCCCCATGGTAATGGCTTGTTCCTGTCTTTGTGTCCTTCTTCTTCTGCCAATGATTCTACAACTTTCTGTCAATTAAGTAGGAAACCCATCATAAATCTACTGGCCCTCCAAGACCTTCTGCTGAGTATGGGTCGTTTGTTCCCCTGTCAAGGCTCACGGCCCTGGTGAATCTGTCTCATATTTCTTTCTCCTTTTCTATGCTCCAAAGGTGCCCTTTTGCATGATTGCACCTTGCCATAGTCACATGGAACTTTTTAGAATACACTGGATTTCAAAGTATAGTGTTCTTAAAACTTACACTTAGAAAATATCCTAACAAACCAGTCCCTTCCATATAGAAAATGTACATCAGCTATGTAGATATTTTAATTGTCTTTTAAACAATTTGCTTAGGTTTTTTGTTTAGTTTTTTTAAAATGGCAGTCTTTTTCCTTCTTTTATCTAGCAAGTAATCTAGGTTAGCTATTTTATACAATTTTTTTCTTAATCTGCACCTGCTTTAACAAAAAAACAACAACAAAACAAAACCACCAAACAAAAAAAAAACCCACAAGCCATAAAAAACAAAGTTAAAAAACCAAATAATATATACTTTTCCCTGGCCTGTATTGAAGTACTATAGTTACATATGCAAACCCCACTGAATTCTGAGCAACAGCAGCTGAGCAAATAATTTGAAATAAATGCCTTCCTTAATTAATCTTATCCATTTGCAGAATGTCTATAGGTAAATAATTATTTCTTCATATTAATTCAGTATTTGAATTTTCTCAAAAGTTTTTCACTTAATTGATTGAATGACTGGCTGGGAACCATTCAAAGCACCTGTATTTTGTTCAGTATTCAGCTTGGCTGGCAATTAAAAACTGTTTCTGATCTTTAACTTGTCTATAGTTTCTTCTTATCAAACATCTCTTCTTATGGCTTCTATATCAAATATCTGAAGAACTTGCAAACTTAAATGTGCTTAGTCTTATAGCTTATAAATTCAGGATTCTTTTTCTTTTTTCTCTGTTTTATGGATGAGAAGCAGCATATATAAAGCCAGGTTTTTTAAAGGTACTTAGGCATAGTTCCACTAAACTAGAGAAGCAACACCTCATCTGCTGCCAGCTTACTTCCTGGAAAATTCAGCAGCCAATAAATGTTTTGGCTCCCAACAAGGTATAAAGAAGAGCCAAGTGCCTAAGGAATGGATTTTTCAGAAACCTGCAAGCTAAGCAGAGTCTACGTCAGTTAGATATGAGACAAATCCATACCAAAGGACATAAATAAAAGCTGTGACTTACAATCCTTCCATTCCAGTCATCCAGAAAGCAACTGATCCAACAAGCTTAGGTATGAGCAACTAATGCTGCTGAAAAAATGAGGACACATCAATCTCTTGTAAGTACTGGAGAAGCATAAAATGCCCACCTTCCCCCTGGGGATCAGAGGTAAGCTACTCATTGTTTCCAGATAGAAAATGCCTTCTGTTTCATACAGGAGCATCAGGGCCCTGGAGATATCAGTACACTTTAGTGTCCCTGACAAGCTTCACCCTGGGCTTCCCCTCCCATGGTGCCAGGAATTCATGACAGCCTCGAGTCAGGCATCCATTCCTGCCTGAGCTATGTGAGCTGTGCCTGGCACTGCCTGCTGTGTTCAGACCCTGTGGGACTGTGACCTATTCAGGGCACGCTGGGGTCACCCTCATCTGCCAACTTGTGTCCTTGGCTAAGCATGAGAAAATACCAACAGAGCTGAAATCTACAGCTCTGTGATAGAACTGACAAGCGCAAAGGCTTTGACTGGACAGAAAAGTTCACTGGCATATTCTTTTCCCTCTCCTTCCCCTTCCAACTTGCTGTGTTCTTTGACTGTCAATACTGTCTCCATATAAAAAAAAAGTTCCAAAAGCAACCAGTTTTCTGGAACAGCTTTCTGGGAAAAACAAAAGAACAAAAGGAAGACCAAAATCATACCTACGTCTCCCTAGGACAAACCCATGAACCAAACTGAGATTCTACTTAAATGAACTGGACTGGAAAACTAGATTGCCTACCATTTTCTATCAGCCACATTCTGGTTGTTTTCACATGAACTGTTTAAATATATTAATTAAATATTTAATTTTCATTAATTATTAATTATATAATATAAATTATCCGTATTATAAAACTGAGTTCTGAAAACATTCGCAATGCAGTCAGGACTGTGTATAGTTTGTACAAAAGAAATCTGGAAATATAGGAAATATTGCTCATAGATAGGATGCATTCTGTTTGATCTCAAACAAAGGATGCAAGTACAGCTTAAGAAACTATTGTTTTAATGTTGACATTTAGATGTCTGTAGGATTTGTAATTTTCTCTTCCCCCCTCCCCCCCCATTCCGCCTCCCCCCTTCCCTCGCATTCCCCCTTTGTCTTTTGTTCCTTTATCTCTCTCTCTCACCATGCAGTCCAGTCCCTGTCCCCCGCCCCCCCCGCCTTTCCCCTCACCACGCGGGCTGTCCCTGCCCCCCACCCGCAGCTTTCCCGTTGCAGCCCCCGGGGTCTCCCTGCCCCTGTCCCCTGCCCCTGTCCCATTGGCCGTGGCTCAGGTTCCCCCCCGCCCCCGGCACGGAGTATAACCGAGCCCCGCTTGGTGTCCCGGGGTCTCAGGAACCCTCTTCTACAATAAACACGTGTTTGCACCCGAGCCCCGTGTTGCCATTTTGTCTGTTCCTGTGCTAGAACTGAGCCTCACAGAGCCGAAGGGGAAAGCGGCTGCCACCCTCTCCTCCCCTCTTCGCCGTGCTGCCTGCAGGCGTCCACCCGGAGCCGAGCTCGCAAGGCAACAGATGTCTCTATATAAGTTTAAATGTCTAATTGACCTAAGTGTCAAAAACTTATTCAAAGTGATATAAATCTTCATGTTTGGAAGGAGGATTTTACTTTGTTGTTATTTCTTTTTTCTTTTTTTTTGGTGGCTTTGTCTTTATGATATTAAAAAAGGAAAAGAGGAGTCAGAATTTCCATACTCCATACAGCTATATGTACAATCTTACATACACTTTTATGTTCATAGCTTGACAGCAAAAAACATTCAGAAATGTTCTTTCTGTTAGCTTTTTTATTGTTTCAGTTTTGGCCATGCAGTTAATTGTACATAGTTGTTGCTGTTCTCATGTTTAGTGAGATCTGATAAATGCCAGATGGAAAGACTTGCTCACAACTTTATCTTGATGAGCTAAAATGAGCAAATATATAGACATTATGAAAGAACTGCCTTGTTTATATTTGTATTGATAATTTCACACCTTTTCAAATAAGTATTTTTTACAGTCACGACAAACAAAGCTGGAAATCTTAGAGTTATTTAATAAAGAAACAAAAAAAAAAAAATTGTTGAAAGTAGCGATGAATTGATAACTCAGTAGATAAATTGCAGTGACCCCAAATAAAATACCATCTTATGAATAAAACAGAATTTTTTAGAATCCAACAAATCAATAGATGTTATATTTCTTAGTCAAAGGTTGAGTCTCAAGAATGTATAATTCATTGAAAAATTGCTTTTGAAACAGTCTCTGACGTAGAACAAGAATAAAAATATGGTAAACACTTCACTATTACGTATAAGCTTGTACAATTACATAAAGCATAGGTTCAAATTCTCACATGAGAGTCCAGTGAATTAAATATTTTACAGGGGATGAGAAAGAAAGTAAAAGAAGCCTTTTATGTTGTTCATGATGCTTTGGATAAGTGCTGTAAAAACATTACAGTTCCAGAACTTTATCTGCCTGTGGTGATTTTATCCTGTGCTTCTAAATTTGTATTTCAGAGACATTACTATCTTGCAACTGATTACTTTTTCAGATTACTATCTCACAACTGGTTATTTTTTCTTTCCTGAAAATATTGAGATGGTTCTTTGATTAAGTTTTTCAAAGTTCTGTATTGTTCTTGTTCTGTTGCTCAAAAATGAAAAGACTATAGTAAATCAGTGTAATTAATCAACAGAAGATTCCCTGTAGTAATTTATTTTCATGGGTGTCCTGAATCCTGTAAAGTTTACACTGTGAATTTTTTCTCATCAGAAAATCTGAAGGAAAAAAATTGAATAAGCCTTTGGCACAAGTAGCTTTTGCAAATCAAAGTCCTCATCAGAAATAAAAGAAAAATACTAAGTAGCCATACTCTTGAGAATATTTGAAATTTAAGGTTCTAGCAATATTTATATAGATTACAATATTTTAAAGTTTAATACTAACAATATCTGCTGAAAAAGTACGAAAAAGAAGAAAAAATGAAGAAAGCTCTTAAAATTACACAGCTGAAAAAACATATCTGCTAGATATAAATTATCAGCTCTGTCTATAATTCATGATTTTTTCAAATCTGAGACTTTTTCAGTAGTATTAGAGAATGATTGGTAATCATGAAAAGAAGATATTTGCTAATAAATGTATGTTTGTTTTCTAAATCCTGTTTTTGTTTCTGTCTGCTCTAGTGATATGGAGCATATAAGGATGGTTTTGGAGCAGGCTACACATTATTTCAAATTATGTGAGATATCTCACATCCAGGAACTTCACTTTAAAGAGGTAAACATTGTGCCGAACCTGTGAGAGACTCACTCTACCCTTGGCTGGCACCTTAAACCTGGCTGAGATATTTCCCACATAGTCATTTAAGTAACTGAACTGAGCTCCTCCATCTTCTCAAAAAGTCTGTAGAAATATTTGATTCACAGGGCATAAGAACCTCATCTATTTTTAGAATCAAAAATAGCTACTGTTTCCAAAATATTCAAAATGTTATAAAAATATATTTAATTTGGAGAACAGCAAATTGATGCAACAAAATTCAATTATTTTCTTGTAACAAAATATCTGAAAAATGTATATGGGCCCACACCTGCTTAATCTTATAGCCTTCACCTAAGAAGTTATACAATCACATACTTATTCTCGCTGAGGTCCAAAGGACGTCATTATTAGAGAATTTACTATTATTTTTATCACATAATCCAGGGTGTGTCATCATCAAAATTTGCATAATAAGTTTTTCAGATGACTGTGGGAATTTTTAAAGTATTCTTTAAACTGTGGAAGATGCCACTAAAAGGATATTTCAGACCATATGGTGTCATGCTCAGCATTTAAAGTGGGGGAAGAAGGAAGGAAGAAGTGGGGGGTGCTCAGATTGATGGTGTCTTCCCAGGTCACTGTTACATGTGTTGGAGCCATGGAGATGGCTGTATACCTGCCAGCCCACGGGAAGCGATGAATGAAGTCCTTGTTTTGCTTTACTCACGTGAGGCGCTTTTGCTTTACTTGTTGAATTGTCTTGATTTCAGCCCACAAGTTTTCTCACTTTTACTCTTCTGATTCTCTCCCCATGCCACCAGGAGTGATTCAGTGTGTGCTGTGTGGTGCTTCATTGGCATCTGGGATTAAACCATGACATGCTGAATGAAGCAGTATGAGTGCAACTCCTACTTCTCAGACTTCACTGGAGTCCTTGTCATGCCACATCTGTTTAATTGTTTGAGGGCTGGCAATAGAAATTGGACAAAACATGCTGGGGATGATCACTTGCTGAATGCTTGAAATGCTCTTTGAAGACAGCAAGTGTCTTCAATACTTAACACTAGATAGGTGAAAAAAAGTCCTACTCTGTACTTCAGTAGCAATTGCTGTGGAGCGAGGCTTTCAAGAGGATCCCACAACACAGTGGGAAGGTGCATTTGGCAGCATGAATTAAAACTGTATTCTTCTTCATACCCCGACCAGCTCTTTGTTCAGATAAAAAGAGAATTTGTATTCTTATTGATGTTTCTGACAGCACTTGGTGCTGCAGCATTGTCAGACCTTGTAGTCTTGTTCCACATCTGTTGATACATGGTACAGCTTATAAAGATTCACATGACTATCTGATGTTTGGGTTCCGTGAATTGAAAAACTATTATTGTTCCAGCTGTCAATCTGATTCCATTTTTAAAAACAGCAGCAAATAAACAACACAAAACAAAAAAGCCAACCCAAACCTTTTTATCAATTGTGAAATTAGGAAAAAATAGTCATACAAAACTGTACTTTTTAAAAAATAATCTTTAATTTTTAAGCCAGTGTAGTTCTTCAAATTTGCTTGCTGTTTTGGGTTAATCCCGATGGGCAGTCAAGCACCACACAGACTGTTGCTCACTTTCTCCTCATGCCCCCAGTTGGAAGAACAAGGGAATATTAAAAGAAGAGTAAAAGCAAGGAACTGGGAAGTCAAAAAAGGGAAAAAAAAAAAGAGCGAATGGTAAGTGGAAAAATAGAGAAATAAACAGAAGTGATGCAAAAACAATCATTCACCACTTCCCATAAGTAGACTGATGCCCATCCTATTTCCTAACAAAAGATGATTAAAGCCCTCAAAGCCCCTTCTTTCTCCTTTTATTGCTGAGCATGACACTATACAATATGGAATATCTCTTTGGTCAGTTCAGGTCACCTGCAGGTTGTGACCCCTCCCAACAGATTGTGCAACCCCTGGAGTGAGAAGCAGAAAAGGCCTTAACGCTGTGCACTGCTCAGCAAACACTAGAACACTGGTATGTTTTCAGGACTGTTTTGGTCTCAGAGACAAAAGACAGAACCATATGAGATGTGTGGAAAAAACTAAACCTGTCCTAGCAATGCCAATACACTGGCATAGGTCTTCATGGATTTTGCTAAGAGGATTTGCCAGTATCATGACTGAAATTTCAGTCAGTCAAAGCTATTAGGTTCCAAATATTTTGATTTCTGTTTAAACCTGTGTACCTGAATTTTTGAGTATTTTTATAAATTTCAGACAACCTGCTATTGCTTAAATGTACTGTTAATTAAATAAAATTTTGAATCATCTTAATGAAACTTCAAATTACGCTTTCAAAAATAGTTGACTGGGAACGGGGAGGAACAGAATGGGAGTGGATATACTCACGCAATCTAATATCTTCCCTCTGTAGCCAAATGTGAATGACTTAGGAATGATTTAGAGGACCTAGAACTGAGAGGTATAATTTTCTCTTTGTTCTCAGTGTAGAAGATAGAGAGATGTAGATGGACCATCAGTTATGAAGATGTTAACCTCAGTTAGAAACCTAAAGTTATGCACTTTGTTTGATCATTACAATTTAAATTGCAAATTTTCCTCTAATTTCCTATTAATTATTTTATTTTATCTCTACATGAATTAGAGTTTCTGACCTCTGTCTATTATTTTCTTCTGATATGTTTTCAGAAATAAATACCGTAGTGTAGTAGGCTATAATATAGTAGGCTTTGACACTACACTTTCCCAGCAAAGTATTTTAGAGGCAATTTATACTATTTGTGTCTGAAACAATTTAAAGTGTCTATATTGTGCTCTCAGACTGGCATGACAACAACAAAAGTAAAAATTATAGAAGGCAGTAGTGACTCAGACTTGTTTTAAAATACTGACTTTGGCTAATCAGAGTCACTATAAATAATAATTCATCTCGCTAATTCATCTTTTATGCAATAATCTGAAAAATTTTACAAGAAATGAGCCACATTTAAATGAAAGATGATCCATTTCTACATCGAAACCCATGCTCAGGCTTGGTCCTGTTGCTGCACAGTAACATAAATGAAGCATACACAGCATAAAAGGAAATAAGGCTTTTTCACTTATGTCAGTTGAAACACAATGGCAATTTTTCACTGCATGCAAAATTATTTAATTCAGTATATGTAATTCTGTCTGGCTAGTTACAGAAGGAGCAACTGTTTGTCTTACAAACTATTCAGTAAAATTTTTAGATGTTTTAGGAATATTATCAATTATATAGAGCTACCTAAATATATGTGATTCATTTGAATGCTGTGTCTATGCATGTTCTGGAGTCTTGTAATGAACAAATATTTAGTTTCTAACACCTCTTTGGTCAGTTTATTGTATGAGAGCATTTACTCTAAGTAAGGTGAAGTAAGGGTTCAAAACATAGACTAGAACCACTTTTCCTCTGTGATATCCCAGTGACTATTAATCATCACTGCGGTCTCATTTAGGGGAGGGGAAGAAAGATTTTCTTATGGAATTCTCTTGATAATTTAAGGGTCATTGCGCTAATATTTTCTTACTCCTTCAGTTCCACCTACTTGCTAATATAGTTATATACATCTTCTTCATATCTCAAGTTTTCCTGTTTTTTTTTTTTCACAGAATCACAAATTCCTTGAGGCTGGAAGGGACATCTGGAGATCATTTAGTCCTCCTGTAGCAGTATGCAACAACTCTGTGAAAGTAACAGAAACAGTTAAATAAAACAATCAATCATATTTTTCTTGAAATTATTTATCTTCAGGTTCATGTTCAATAAAATAAAATTGAAATCTAAGAGATGACTTGAGAGATTAATGATGCATTTTTTTAAGCCTACTTTTGCCTTCTGTGAGCACCTGACATTGAAGAACTGTCCTGTTACAAATTTTCACCTTATGTGCATGTCCTTTGTGCACAGTAGTGAAATATGAAAGTTTGTTTTAGTTTAGCTAACCTGGTTGCTGGAATATACATTATTCCTGGCAGTGTGTTTATTTAATCCAGTTTCTAGCTGTAAACCATGCTGCAGTAGTTTTACTGTGCACTGCATAATTCCGAAAGGCATAGCCGGAGTTCAGAAGACCAAAGCATAGGGAGAAGTTATCTCTTTTTTCCAGATTACATGAAGATCCTTTGTTCATTCTTCATAGGGCATTGTCCTGATTTTTCCTTGGACAAATTTTGTCAAGCTCTGCTCTGTATGTTTTGATTTACCCCGGTGCCATTGAAAAAGGTTCTCATGAGCCGTCTAGTCAAAAGATGTAATTATAAAGACAAACTGTTACACAATTTTATGGTTACTATGCCACCAGACAAGTGCTTTGAGTCAACTCAGCCAGCGCTATTGTGAGAGGAAGAAAATCTGTGTGTCTTGATTCAGCTTTACTTGAAAAGGAAATAAAATTGCTGCATAAATCTCCCTTTTCCAAAACAGAATTGCAGAAATGTAATCTACAAATCTCTTGTCAGAGTTCACTAGCAAACTACTGGGAGTGGCCATGTTAACTTTCTCCAGGAGATGTCACTCAAGACACTGGTAAATGTACATTTCAGAAGTTTGCAGTAGAAACACAGAATGAACTGTAACATAAAGATCTGTTCACTCCAAAAGTACCTTGGCCTATTTCAATATCATTACTGCTAGATATACATGTCAGGAGCAATGGGGCAAAATTTTTGGTTCTGTTCCTTTGTAAAATACACTTGTTTGTATCAGTCTGTTAATGAGTCATCATTTATTTACATCCACAAGAGGCTGATGCTCCAGAGCAGCTCAAAGACTGAAGAGAGATCTGGGACAAAAGGCAATTCTAACAGGAGTTGTTGCAGCCTGAAGGAAACAGATATTGCTGGAAGTTTACTACATATGCATTTTACATACCAATTTATATTACTGTTGCATTTAAAATAAGTAGCCTGTTACTACTGAGTACTGTTTCATGTTAGTCTTAGAATCTCTGCTGGCTCAAATGGGAAGAGTCTGAGTTATTGATTTATAAGCTACAGTCTTGGTGGAAAACAAAGGTTGACATCTAACTCTCTGCTTTTATGACTGTCATGTATAGCCCAGAAGAAATTATTATCATACAAAAATAAAAAGCTAAAACTGTACTAGTAAACAGAAGCATGGTAGGGATACATTTCCTAGTTCTACAGTTAACTGACACGGTTTGGCTGAATTCACAATGTTAAAATATCTAAGATTCCAACACAGTGTACTTGAGAGCTGTTTTGAAAATTGTCCTCTGGCTTAAACCTCTCTGGGAGACTGATACTTGACCCAGATCTGAACATTGGCAAAGATTCTTTTAACTGCCTAGCCATACTGACAAATTGGTTTGGCAGCAATTTTCCCAGTACAGGTATAGTAAATATTTACTATATGTAGTAAAATAATGGAGTATGGACTTTTAAGTTCAATCGCTAAAAATTATAAAATTATAGCTGTATGTTATATCAGAAATAGTGTGGCCAGCAGGACTAGGGTACTAATAACTCCCTTGTAATCTACACTTGGGTGGTGGCACCTTGAATCCTGTGTTCAGATTTGGCCCCCTCACTACAAGAAGAACACTGAGGTGATAGAATTTGTCCAGAGAAAGGCAACAAAGCTGGTGAAGGGTCTGGAGCACAGGTCTTACAAACAACATCTCAGGGAGCTGGGCTGGTTAACTCTGGAGAGAAGGAGACCTTAGAATTCTCTGCAACTCCCTGAAAGGTGAATGTTGGCCTCTTCTCCCAGGTAACAAAGTGGCAGGACAAGGAAATCACTTCAGGTTGTTCCAAGGGAGGTTTAGATTGAATATTAGGAAAAATTTCTTCACAGAAAAGTTTGCCTAGCTTTTGAATAGGCTGTCTAGAGAAGTTGAGTCCAGGTATTTAAATGACACATAGATGTGACACTTAGGGACATCATTCAGTGGTGGACTCGGCAGTGTCAGGAGTTAACAGTTGGACTTGTTCATCTTAAAGGTCTTTTCCAACCTTAAAAAAATCTGTGATTCTATACAGTTATATAGTTGTTATGTAGCCTGGGGGAATTTTAGGTGCCCCCATTAAGATTTAAAAACAAATTCATAAACCACAAGATTTCCGTTCTGATTTAGTGAGAACTGATATGCCTCTTAGTAGACTTTACATTTGTGGTGAAGTAAAATTATACAGAAAAGATGAAAGACAAAATAGAAATTTTAAGTTTTAATTAAAATGAATTTTTGGCTAGGCCTTTTTTTTTCTGTAAATATATACTTGTTCAGCTATAGTATATGTAAGATGTCCACACAAAAATACATTCATGCTCATATCCATATGTGTATGTTGAACAGCCCAGGCATGTGATAAATGGTTTAGTATAAATTAGAATATGAAACTTTCAGTGGTGTCTAATTTTCCCAAGCTGTTGTTGGATGCGTTTTTAAGTTGCATGGCACGATAATATATGTTTCAGCTTTCTTGGATTATTTTCTGTGAGACATGGTTATAGTAAGAAACAACCAGGCATCCTACAGGAACAAATCCTAGCACAGCTGAAGTAGTCAGACTCTCTAGAGAAATAATTAGCAGGGATTATAGACCAATCTGGCAAGTTGTAGGTGGAGAGTGAAATTTAAACTTCTGGAATAGTTGTATTGAGAATGGATTGGCTTCAAAAAGCCTACAAAGGAATCTCCTTTATAAAAATTCAATGTGTCTTAAATCTTTAGATATATTTTAAAAAATTGTTAAAATTGAAAATTTATTAATATTAAGCAACTTAGAAGAAAGGTAAATAAACACAGTACCCTTTTTACTCTTGCACAGAAAGACTTGTGTACACAATATTGATGTTATTATTCCTCATACTGAAAAATCACCAAAAATACATCACAGAAATTATCATTTCCTTGAATGTATGATTAGTTTAAATGTATTGTTTATGAGCTCTACAGTTCTGTGAAGGGCTTTTTTTCCCATTCTTTGTTTAGCCTAAAGAAACGAAAATCAGTGTTAGATTCCAGGAAACTTTACCCATGTTTTAAATCATTAATATCTGAATGCTTATGAGTGTTAGAGGTTATAGCTTGTACTACATCCTAAACTAATCTAAATATTTTCTTTGAGTGTGAAAAAAATGAAAACTATCAAGAGAATCAGTCTTGTATAGAGTGCTAATTGCTCATAAAGTAGCACAAACATCACAAGCAATATAAATGGTCTTAAAGTGCCACAGGCTAGCTCCATTAGATTAATGAGCCAATGGCTCCAGCTTTGATGCCTTTTCTAATTATGCATTATTCACCATTTCTTTCAAAAGAAAGACATCTAATTAATTAGGTACAAAATGTCATCTATAGGTCATTGACAGCAAGGGAGATTACCACTCACGCAGTTTAGTCTTCAGGCAAAGTTATTACTCCTCTGGGATTACCACCAAATGTCATTATTGAATCAAGAAGAGTTCCTGCAGTAGGAAGATTAGGGAAAAAAACCCACAAATCCTTTTCTTTTCACCCTGACTCATACACAGAATTATCTATTCAACCTTAAGTAGGTAAATACAATACTCTTGAGATGCTACAAATTAAAGACTCCCTTTTAATCACACAAAATAAAAGGATATTACAAAGTCAAAAGTGTTCCATAAAGCTCTTAAACAGTAATGTTAACTGCTGAATTACCCCAGGAAAATTACTTATCTGAAAGTTCCTAATTTTACTCAAACTTTCAACTCCCAAACTGCCATCTTGAAGTTAGAATTTCCACTTATTTTACAAAATGTGACACTGCAGCATCCTCTGAGATGTTTTTAAATATTTGGTTTGATTTAGGGCATAATCAAATTCCCACTAACTTCAAGGCCACAGTCTGGAAAAATGCAGGATTGTTTAATGATTCCATAATTATACAGCTGCAGGTCTGTTAGATTAACAGAGTTATTTAAGGTATATGACTCTTGATACCAAAAAGTAAAACTGGTTTATTCCAGCTGTTCTGTCTACGAATGAGAAGAAATGCTATCACTTGTAACTTGCAAGGAGATAAAAAACATTGTCAGGTGCTTTCTCAGTTTGATTTATTCTCCTTTTTCCAAATGTAAAATCTAAGATTCTTGATAGAGCAGTCTTAGTTAGACAATCTATAGGCCTTTAAAAGAAATCTCATGATCAAGCTGACTGGAATACAAAATTTACTTTCAGGACTACAATGTGAGCTATTAAGAGGCTCTTTTATTTTAAACTAAGATAGAAAGTTAAAAATATTTATTTATTATTTTTATGGGTTTATCACTCAGTTTATCTTGATGGGGGATTTTGCTTGGTTTGTGTTCATCATTAAATTATACTATATTTAATACATATTGGAACAATACAGTTGAAACTATCCTCCTGAAAATTATGATAAAATGTGTCAGTAAAATATTTTAATTTCCTGGGATGAGCATTTTCTGACAAAAAATAGGTTAATTAGAAAGACAAGAAAAAATTATGTTTTTTCTTAACTTAACCCCAAAAATATGATCTACAGTTACTAGGTGTATAAAGGAAAATGTAATGGGTTTTTTTTTTCCTTGTTTTTTGTTTGGTTCACATTTTAACACATAGAAAAGAATGGGGCAGAATGGGTCAGAGGACAACTCTGTGTATAGTCTTCTAGCTTTTAAACACAATATGACTTGTTACTATCAAGGAGACCTGCAGTAAATTTTACTCCTGAGTTTGTGCCCCTTTGGATTTCATTGCTGGGTTTCAGTTTACCCCAAACTTCACTTCTGTTCTGCTTCATAGAAGGCTGATACAGAGACCCATATAACAACAG